AATTTGCAACACCCACGCTCATATGTGCACCCACGCCAACCTCACCGCATAAAAATGTACTCATTGCATACTTTGGAAGTACTCGAGTACACGTGGAAGTGCTCGAGTACATGGGAAAGTACTCGAGTACATTTTTGCAATCTTAAATGTATTAAGTACATTCAAACTCGGGACTGAGGCACTGAAAGTACTTGGAGTATAGTATTTGATTACTTGTACTCGAGTACCGAACAGCTCTGTATACAATTAGATAAAATCTTTTTTTTTATCGGGACGTCGCGACGGTCCCTTTGCTAAGAACAACGGCCTCTAAATAACGACAGTCCCCATAAATAATAACTACGGTCCCTCTAATAATAATAAAATTGTTGCTAATCAAATATATGTACAACCCTCTTGGATTTCATCTTTTAATAAGTTTTTTTAATTTATTAAGTATTATTAAACCAATTTACCTATACCATTATAAATTTTATCTCATTGAGCCATTAAAATAATAATTGTACCTACTTACATTGGTATCTATGTATAAGTAAGTAACTACCTTGGGTTTAATCTAAAATTATGAATTAAATTCGGTATTTAATTATCTAGGTACACACTTAAATTTCAAACAAAAAATATAAATGTGGCATATATTTTAATGTTAATCATTGGCATACCTACCTCATATAATTTATCATGAGTCACATTGGTGACGAAAAATGTACGTTGTGTTTTACACCTAATACGCTAAAGTAAAATAAAAGGCATAGACTGGATCAAACCAGGTTTTTTATCTTATTTTTCCTGGGCATCTAATACAAAATTTTGCAGCACTCAAACATCAGCACACACACATTAATTATTGACCTAGGTCACAAGCTCGAAAACAGGCCCGGCTCCAGACATTTTGGTACCCCGTGCAAAAATATTTTTGCCGCCCCTCATAGTTACCTACTTTTTAGTGCCCATTAATTAGGTATAATTTCTAAAAAAAACTACCTAAATAATTTCTTCCCCTTGATGCTACAATTAGATATTTGGAAAAACACATGTATAAATAAAATATTCTAAAATTGGTACGTACCTAACTATTTAGTAGAACTGGATTCGTAAAATTTTGAGTTATCCAGTTGTAGCATTAAGGGGAAGATAAAATTAACAAAAAAGTTTAAAAAATCATTATTTAATAACAAATAAATAAAATACCATCGCATTCTAAAAAACCAGTAATATATTCTAATAATAATTATTTTATCTAAAATTATTAAACTGACTAGTAGTAAAAATAAGAAAAATCTGTTTACAAGCAAAAGTTTAAGTAAAGGAATGCCTCCTGGTTTTTTATCCAGCAAACGTTGAAATTAAATTGGAAATATCGAATTTAGAACCTAGACTGTTATAAAAATCAGATTTGTGAGAAACACAACGTTTAAAACGATTATTAATCTGTATTAACAGAGCACAAACCAAAAGCACAAGAATTGTAAACAACAAAAATGGCCGCCTTTAAACTCTGTGCAGTGTTGCAGTGATTTTTAGTATTTTTAGCAAGAGATAGAACAGACCTAGTGTGGATTGTGGTCCAATGGTGAAAAATGTGAAAATAATATTTGATGTAATATTTATAAAACCAAATTCGTTACTTTTTTACTCCAAAAATGTGCATAAGGCGATGTACGTTTTCTTCCAAATGAAGTTTTGCCCTCAAAAGGGCTTTTCATTCGAATTCGTTGCTATTATTTTTGGCATAATTATCTTTTTATTTATAATTGACAAGTAAATTATTAATAATAAATATTATTGTCAATTTGACAGTGTCAAATTATTTAGCAGAAGTACCATTTTAAAATACCAGATGAAAAATGAACTGTATAGTTATGTGGATCTGGATTAACAAAAAATCTAGTTAACATTTGGTTAAAATTAACAAATATTTTTTACTGTGTTGTATTGAATAACTTTTTTCGGCCCTTCGAATTTTGCCGCCCTTTGATTTTGCCGCCCCGTGCAGGGGCACGGCTGCACGTACTCTGGAGCCGGCCCTGCTCGAAAATGCCCCTGAATCGCTTGCGAGAGGAACGGCCGAACCATAAACTTCAAAACAGAACCAGTCAACATAGGTGACTTCCACCGTCAGCCAGCCGGGACGTCGCGACGGGCAGGCAGCCCTACAATACTGTCCATATAACATAAGTAAAATGTACTGTCAACTTGAGGTAGGTACTATGTGAAACTGTTTTCTGTACTATCTGTGATATTTTATGTTTTAAATAAATGTATTTTGATTTTTTTTTGCAAAGACTGGACATTATGGTTACGTGCTCGACAGCACTTTCTATTTTTTTAGCGTAATTTTGACCTAAATTGAACATCACTAAAAAACGTAGTTAATATGCCTTAATATTGACAATTTTAAACGTCACTGTTATATCATAGGAATATAGGAATCATTAATTCATATTCAGAATTAATACGATAAACAAATTAAGTCTTGCACCCTTAAGGATTTACCAATCATAATATAAAATTTACCTGTACAACGCGTTGTAACGTGTTAAATGGGACAGAAAGATATACAAATAAAATGTATGGATTTTGTTGGTTTACCTATGGTGTATGTAAATATGTAAAATAAAAATTTTTATCTTTAAAGATCCGAGTCGACTGCATGAAAGTATCGGCTGCAGACCCCTCTTTCCCATTGGGCACTTTGGGCAAGTGCCCAGGGCCCCGGGATCGACAGGGGCCCCCCTTAGATCAAATACAATGTAGTTATAATTTGTCAAGAAACTGAAAAATTAACTAGACAAATGTCAAATAAATTTAAATTTAAAAATAGTGCCATGTATATAAGTAATAAAGTATTGTATAATGTACAGTCAGTATTTTCAAATTCTGCAATGATTGATCATATAAAGAACCAAGATATATTGGACAATCATAGAATTCTTCTGATTAAAAAAATTATTGCTATATTTTTAAGCTCGAGCTTCCAGACTAAATTGGGAAGGTAAAAAGGCTTCTGAAAAACCATAATATGTTAGACAAAAACTACATAAGCTTATTTTATTTAAAAATCAATAAAATATTGTTTTTCTTTATTTATTCTTTATTATTTATTTATAAAATATCCTAATTATTAGAATCATGTTTTTTAGTGTACATATTTGCATATGGTTTATTTTATGTTTGTTTTTATAACTTGTATTATTATTTATAATTTTATTTGTACCAAATATGCTTGAATTAAATTGGGGGTTTAAAAAGTAATAGGTACTTGTGTTTCTTTTACCTAACTAATTTTAAAATAATGTTATATCAATGTAAGTAAATTCACAATCTAGAGTCCCTTTTTTACAAGTAAGTATACTTATAAATCAACTGCTTATAGAAAAAGGAAGTATACCTTACACTTTTCAGTTTTGAAACAGAATTTCCCTAAATTAATTTGGACTTAAACTTCAAAATATACAATGTCGGTCGATAACTTGCGATCACAGAATACTTGAAAATTGATGACAGTGAAAATAAGGATTGTATATTAAAAATATATCAACTTTTGAAAGAAAATAAAATTGAAGACACATTTCCAAATGTAGAAATCGCATTGAGAATCTTTTTAAGCATGATGGTAACTAACTGCAGTGGAGAACGCTCCTTCTCCAAATTAAAAAGAATTAAAAATGAATTAAGTACAATGCTTCAATAGAGATTAACCAGTTTGTTGCTGATGTCCATAGAATCTGATGTGCTAAAAAGCATAGATTTTGAAGAAGTGATTAACGATTTTGCCCATCTGAAATCTAGAAGGGTTCCTCCTCAAAGAGCATAGATTTTTAAGCACTAATCTGTAAATGTTAAAAAAGTTACTTTTGTGGACTTAATATAGTAATATGTAATATCATTTATCTATTCGTTTCATGTGATTGTTAATAAAAATAAATATTTAACCTTGTTTATCTACTTTCTTTGTCTATTCTAACAAAATATTGTTCTGTCAAAGTCATAGGGGCCCCATTATCCTAATATGCCCAGGGCCTCCAATAGGTTAAAGACGGCCCTGATCGGCTGCGTTATTCCGGTGCAGTGTTGCCAACCTCAAAATAAAAAATATGTTAAAAAATTTATGGTACATTATAGTACGCACCACCTATCATGAGCTGGCCAAATAATCAGAAATAGATTAAAGGCCAATATATAAAGAAGAAGAAGTAGTACGCACCAAACAAATATTATGACACAAATTATGGTATATTTTAGGGCTTTAAAATTCAACTATAGTTGTTTGAATTTTAAAGTCCTAAAATATACCATAATTTTATAGGCACTTTAAGAAAAGTCATATTTATTTTAACACAAACTTTGATAAAATCACAATCCACACAACATTGTGGATTGTGGATAAAATAAAACAAATTAGGTACAAACAAAAAAATAAACTTTGGTAAAAAAGTAATAAATTATTTTAAATTTAATAAATTAACACTTTTAATTAAAAATAATATAGCATTCATCACAGTCTTGATTATTGAATAAATTATCTTTAGTTATGTATTTGCACATTTTTTCTGAGGGCTCAGAATTTATACATTTTTTTAAAATTTTTGTAGGTACCGCTCGAAAAAATCTTTTCTTAAAAACCACAGAGTTGAAAAACAAAAGTTTGAATAGAAAAGAACATAACTGCTACTAACCTAGAACATTAATTTTCATTAACAGCTGTTTATGAAAATTTAATACTGTACTGGCAGGACTGATCGCAACGTTGCCTAATTTATTTTCGGTACAAAAGCATGCTTAAAAATTATAATACTCAAATTATGTTAAAACAATATTGTAAAAAAAGAATTATGGTACAATTATATTATGGTACGCTATAAAAATGGAAGGTGCAGACCTTTAAAATTATGGTACAAATACCATAATTATGGTACGGTTGGCAACACTGTTCCGGTGTGAGTTTGCAGTACAGTACGTTTTTAAGGTAACGTTCAATCTCTGGTCCTAACGCAATGCGGCGGCATTCATGCTCTCACCTACATACACCATGCGCATAGCAATTAGAATGTGATTGTTGAGTATAAATAAAAGTCACAGTCCTCGTCGTAGATGGTTTCGGAATACTACACGGAGTAAGGTCTGCTTTTCAAGGCCTTTGGTTGCGCCTGCGCTCGTATTTAAAAACAACAGCGGGAAGCCCATTCAAAGACGTGGGGAATGTTGCTTGGCCAGTAACCATCAAATATATCCAGTAATTGTTACCGGTAACTTTACGAGTGTTTATACTGCGCTCACACGCTACGCGCAAGCAACGTTAAAGTTAAAATGTGATTTTGTTGTTATGTGCACCGAGTAATGGAATAAACAATATGTTAAGTGAAAATGCCATTTGTGCAGCGAATTATTGAACCCAAGTATTTAAGCAGAACCAGTTTATTTACCGAGGATGGTACACCCGTTGTTACAGAAAATGAATTGGTAGCCGTAACGAACAATACGTTAAGCAATGCACTTCGACAACTTGCATCGTTGGTTCTTGTGGCCAATGACATCTTCACCGAGCTCGGTATTCAATTCAACGAGTCCAGCAAAAGGGCCGAAAAAATCAAAAAAAGAATCAACTTATTGGAGGAATGCATATCCAAGTTTGATCCTAAGAAAGTTGCAGTCCGTAAGTGTTCTTATACCTGTCGTTTGTGTCTTTAATCGGGCCCAACTTACCTTGTACCGTAACATCGCTTTCTTATTCAATTCTTTGAAATTTATTTTGTCTAACGCTCAATAACACCTCCAAACATTTGCCATTTGTTTAAATTTTTAATTAAACTTCAAGATTTTGCATATATAAACATATTTACCAACATGTGTACCTAACGGTAAACTTCTTATAAGTACCTATTTGATTGCCTGATATTTTTTCTGTAAGTAAACATAATTGAAAGACATGTTAACCATTTGTGCATATATACCTATAACTTTCTAAATAATTTAAATTATGTGTTAAAACAGAAATGTAAAAAACACTTTCTGCAGTTGACAATATAAACCACATGTGTGCCTGTGCCCTTAATCTTAGTCAAAGGCAATATGGTTCATCCCCGTTTAGGTACTTAAAGCCCTATAGGAAGTTACTCACAATCTAGTTTTTAACCCTCTTTAAAAAAATAAACTAAAAAGGTACAAACAGTACTTTGATATCTTTAAATTAAATTAAATTAACATTAATTAACACCATAAAAAGAATTAAATTATTAAATTTAAACGACAACAAATGGTTGTGCAAATAAAAGTTGTAAAGAGTCTTTAAAGCTGTTCGTTTTTTTTATATTTATTATCTTTGTGACCTTAAATATTTACAGGTAAAATTATATATAATCATTAAATGCTCTTTGTCCGAATGTTAAAGGTAAAATAATTCCATGGTACCTATATCTTAAATTTTCACTACATACACTGTGTCATGTAGTACCTAATAAGTTATCATCCCTTGGGGGATGATAGTTTACGCCAAAGTAAGCAGGTTTAAAAAAAATTTTTTAATAATTTTACATGAAATCATGAAAAGTTACTTAATTCTTAGGCATTTGTTTTGCACGACAATGACCTTGACCTACAGTTGTTTAACTGTGGTTCCTATCTTACTGCTGTCGATGATTTTAACAGGCCGATTCTTCGTCGGCTGTCGCAAACGAGATCAGTGGCTGCCCATCAATTGCCTAGAAATAACGTTAATTTTTTGTTTTTTTTAATTAAAAACAGTAAGAAAGGTAAACTTGTTTACTTTCTCCCTGTATATAGCTATATCACGCTGATAAGCTTTTAATAAACTAAAATAAAATCAGGTACCGCATTTATCTTTTCCTATAAAAAGAATAATGGACATATTCATGTTAAACATCTGTCCAGAGTCGCCCCTCTATGAAGGGTCGAAATAATAGCGTAAAATTAAATCCCTATTCTTGTTTTTGTGATAAACATATGTGAATAGGAGGTAAATTAAAATTAAAATATTTTTACTGTAAATTTAAAAAGGTTCTTGGAAGTACCTATAATGCGTATTTTAAGGAAAATTGACACTATTCCACCATGATATTTACGTTGTACGTACCTACATGCCTACGAGTTTTGACGTTGGAAGGGAAATTAAAACAAAGTTTTGAAAAATAATCTACTCATCAAGTCATTTTTTATTAACAATGTATCACTTGCATTTCTGCACCGTTGAAATAAAAAATAATTATCTCGTAAACCATTTACAAAAAATCGATAACCTTAAGGATAATGAGAATTCTCATTATCGACATATTTTTTTAATTTAATTTAATGCCGATTTTGCTTTGTTCTAAAACAAAAGTACTTGGAATCAAAAGTATTTATTTAACTTTATTGTTAATAAAATTTAAAATATACTTTTAAATCTAAATAACTAAGAAACCAGGGTATTATATCTAATCAATTACGTGTTGTTTGTGCTATACATGTTGGTTATTATTTTCGCAGCTACTGATTCAATTGAAGTAAAAAATTTCACAGAATTAAGTTTATTACCATACTTAAATGTGATGTTTAAATTTCTAATTGATATATTAGTTTTATTAAATAAATTTTGGTCACATTTTTGACATTCCAGTTCACCGTGCTCTTGATCGTCTGCCACTGCGCGCGGCGCTAAAAATAATTTATCATTAACAAAGGGCGAGCATAAAATAGTTCAAATGGTTTCTGAATACTAACCGTTTAATGTAAATTAGCAACAATGAGGAATAAATAGCACGATAAAAAGAAGGTTATTGCTAAGAAGCTAAGCTCACCCAAGAAAATTTGTTGGCCATCATGTGGCAAAATTGCTGGCGACCCATGGGCGTAGCCAGAATTTTCAACACTGAGGTAAGAAAATTCGAATAAATCGTAAAAAACGAGCACTAAGCTTCCTATAACATTCTTTTTAAATTAAAAATTTTAATTAATGATTTTCGACGGATAATTGAATTGGCTAACAATTTAGTAGTGTCCATGTCAATAATACTTTTTTCCAGGGCTTTAAGGGGGGTCAACTATCCCCCTGCTCCCATGCCTACGCCACTTAGCGAGAAGTGTTATTTTTGAGGTACTTTTCAATCCTAGTCTCATTTGGGTTTTATCCTTTATTAGGGGAGAGGTGGTATAGTTGAATCAACTAATCAACTAAGTTGATCACAGTTTTAGTTTTTTTAAGAATAATAATTAATTCCTATTTTATCTATATTTCTTTAGTTACATTATATGCCTTTTAAAGACGTTTTTACATATTTTACAAAAATGATATCTACTTTATAAATTAAATAATTTAAAAAATAAAAAAATCAACAAGTATCAACAAGAGCACATCGTTTAAATAATTATTTAAACGATGTGCTCTTGTTAATACTTAAGTGTTGAATCAACTAATCAACTAAGTTAATCACAGTTTTAGTTTTTTTAAGAATAATAATTAATTCCTATTTTATCTATATTTCTTTAGTTACTTTTAAATACGTTTTTACATACTTTACAAAAATGATATCTACTTTATAAATTAAATAATTTAAAAAATAAAAAAATCAACAAGTATCAACAAGAGCACATCGTTTAAATAATTATTTAAACGATGTGCTCTTGTTAATACTTAAGTAAAAAACGTCCTCCCTGCCTAAATTACTGCAAAAACAGCTAGATATGGGTAAATATACAGGGTCCTGCAACAGCGCGTCGGGCTTTCCTAGTGCCTTTACAGTGAGGGATAGAAAAAAAAGTTTCCTACAAAAAATTGTTGGTTTGAAAATCTTTATGCCGAGAAATTATTTTCAACAATACAGGGTGTTCCATTTTTGCGGTATAACAAAAACATACATTTTTTTAAATGGAACACACTGTATTTATTTAAGTTTTCCGATAACATCTTTCAACCTCTACATTGTTGTACATTTACTTTTTGATTTAAATACAGTGTTGTCAACTTACAATTTTTTTTTCAAAAAATCTTGCAAAAGCAAGCTGAACTTTAAAGAATCGTAGCGACATCAGTTTTTAAAGGTAAGAATAAATTTTAGCAACAATCCCAGTGCAGTTAATAAGCATCATTTTGATTATGAGCAATTTAAATTTAGTAATACAGGGTGTTCAGAAATAAATGCCAAACTTTGCACACTTCAGAGTGGTTTAACTAATTTTTTTCAAATGGAGTGCCCCATATTTTATGTCATCATTCGATAGGTCTTTTTCTCCTCTTTAATGTGATATGCCATATCTTATTTGTAAACCTCATAGTTGTTTAGATATTCAATATTTTTCGCAAAAGTAACTATTTCATTACATTTTTAAGTAGAAAGTGTCGGGACAAAACAACTGTCAAAATGTTAGAGTCAAAATGACTTCTAATAACAAATAATACTAATACTAATAATAATAAGATTAATTATTTTATTCAAAAACCATGCAAGGTAAAAAAATTGAAAATACATAGTAAAAACGTTACTATAGTAATTGTTCAAAATGTCTTCCATTTTCATTCAGGCACAAATTAATTCGCTGCTGAAAAGACCTTTGCACTCTTCCTAACATTTCAGGTGAAATACTTGCAAAAGCGTTTACAATCCGTTGTTGCATATTCATAAGTGTGGTAGGTGGTTCGTTAAAAACAATTCCCTTTACATACCCCCACAAGAAAAAATCAGGTATTGTCAGATCCGGAGATCTAACAGGCCATATGGAGGGTCCATTTCTACCAATCCACTGGTTGGGGAAAATGCCATCAAGATATGCCCTCACGTCTCGTGAAAAATGCGCAGGTGTCCCGTCTTGTTAAAACCACATCCTGTTTCTTGTATGTTGAGGTACATTAGCTTATAATCCAGGTAAAACATTTTCCAAAAAATTCAAATACATAGTCCCATTGAGATGACCATCGAAGAAATGTGGACCTACCACATATCCTCCAACAATTCCTCCCCAGACATTCAAAGACCTTTGATGCTGATGATCAACTTGTTTCATATCATGCGGATTTTCAGTTGAATAATAATGAAAATTGTGCCTGTTTACAGATCCGCTTTTATGAAATGCCTCATCAGTGAATAAAACATACTGAAAAAACGCAGGATCTTCCTGTATTTTCAGCCTTGCCCAGGTGCAAAATTCGGAACGATATTGAAAATCAGCATTGCTAAGTTCTTGATGCAACTGAATATGGTACGCATGATATCGATTCTTCTTTAGAATCCGTTGTACTGATCTCTCGGTTATGCCGGTTGCTTCACCGATGTCTTTTTGGCTAATGTTTGGATGCTCAGTTGCTGTTAATAGCACTGAAAATTCGTTTTCCTCATTGACAACAGGTTTTGTTCTTTCTTGTTTTTTATAATGTACACTTCCCGTTTCAATAAATCTATTGAGTAGTTTCCTGAAGCTTTTCTCATCCGGGTGTCTTTTTTCTGGATAACGCATCGCGTAAATTCTAGCCACCAATAAACAAGTTCGATCAGTCTCCCCCAATACAAAAATCATATCGACTAGTTCGTTTTTTTCAAAATTCATGTTAATAAGTTGCGGTCTACTTTTACGACAAAACAGAGAGAAGCACTTTTATGATACAAAAACAGCAACGTTTTTTCTAGTTTTTTTAAAAGTTTTTTTACAGGGTCAGTTTTTAATATTTAATACAAACTAATTAATAGAGACCGGACATTTAGGCATTTTAAGAGAGGCAAACAAGGCAAAAATGATTTTGGATTAAACTTCACTAAAAATGCCCAAAACTTATTTTGCATGAAGAATTTTTAATGTCCCATTAAAATTGACGAAAGGTATTTTGCCTAAAATCTGGTCTTTACTAATTAACATTTCGAGTTTTAACATAAGAAAATTTTATCAAATGTTACATTGACAATTACTTACATTTTGCTTCAGCACGGCCTACTTCAGTGCATAGAAATTTAATTAAATGATTACTTTTGAATATCTCAACAACTATGAGGTTTACAAATAAGATATGGCATATCACATTAAAGAGGAGAAAAAGACCTATCGAATGATGACATAAAATATGGGGCACTCCATTTGAAAAAAATTAGTTAAACCACTCTGAAGTGTGCAAAGTTTGGCATTTATTTCTGAACACCCTGTATTACTAAATTTAAATTGCTCATAATCAAAATGATGCTTATTAACTGCACTGGGATTGTTGCTAAAATTTATTCTTACCTTTAAAAACTGAGGTCGCTACGATTCTTTAAAGTTCAGCTTGCTTTTGCAAGATTTTTTGAAAAAAAAACTGTAAGTTGACAACACTGTATTTAAATCAAAAAGTAAATGGACAACAATGTAGAGGTTGAAAGATGTTATCGGAAAACTTAAATAAATACAGTGTGTTCCATTTAAAAAAAATGTATGTTTTTGTTATACCGCAAAAATGTTGAAAATAATTTCTCGGCATAAATATTTTCAAACTAACAATTTTTTGTAGGAAACTTTTTTTTCTATCCCTCACTGTAAAGGCACTAGGAAAGCCCGACGCACTGTTGCAGGACCCTGTATAATTATCAATTGGTATATTTAAACTTGTCCAAAATATTACTTTTATTAAATAAAAAAGACAAGATGATTTAATGAAAAAATTTACTTTTGGCGGAAAATAAACTATATTACTATATCCTCTGCATTTAAATTACGGTTTTATCTTAAAGGCGTTGCCAGCAAACTACTCTCTAAAAATGAATTAGTAAAAAATTATTAGTTTAATTTTTAATTCTTGTGTATTTTTTGAGATATAGTGACGACATTCTCGGATTCAGCGGATATATTACACAGTACGACAAACATTTTTCCCCATGAAAAATTCCTTTTGAAAATAGACTTAAAAAAATTATACCCGTGTCTCGGCGATTTTTCAGATCAGGTAATTTTTTTTAAGTGCGATCCAATAAAATTTTATCCATGGTATTCGGCAAATAATATAACAGCTTCGATAACAGCCAGACTGTATATCTTTATTCACAAAATAAATGGACAATCATTAAAATTATTTATTTATTTCAAAATTATTTAAATTATAGGTATACAGGGTGTTGCACATTTACAAAAATATAATCCATATTTTTACGTTTTTAAATTTTACATAAAATTCTGAGTAAAATTGCGGTACCATGTCCTATACCTAAAATGAATAGTTTTCGAGTTATTTTTTTTTTAATTTAACAAATGCGCGTCAATAAAATTAGCCTATATATATAAATGGCAGTGGATTTTTGAAATCTTAAACATTGTTTAAAAGATTCCATGTCAATTCTTTAATATTTTTTAACAAATTACCCAAGAAAACCCATGGCAAATTAGGCTAACTTGAAACGGTAATAACTTTTTTATTTTAAATGAACATTAAAAACCAATTAAGAAATGCTTAAATGTAAATGGAGGACACTTTAAGCATTTAGTAATAAATTAGTAATAAAAATTGTTAGTTAAAATATCTTTGGTTTATTACATTGTTACAGTTACGCATTCTTTTTGTTATTAATCTATTTCATTAAAATTTTATATTTTATTGTCTCCAATGAGCTAGGGCTTTATCTAATTGACATTCTACAGCTTTTTTATGTTTTTCAAAATAACCAAATACTGTTTGTATTACTTTAAAATTTTAATAACAACCTGAAAAATTGATGCCATTAAATTTTGAACAATGACAGATTACGTGGTTACCACATATATGCAGATACCGTAAACTCTTGATAAAAAATAATATTTAAAATTTTAGAAATTGTTGAATATCTCTGAAATTATTTAACTTTAGGTATAGGGAATAGTAACATTAATCGAAATGTTTTTTAATGTGCTATTTGGTTAGGTAAAAACATACCGGGTGTTACATTTAAAATAAAAAAGTTATTAACGTTTGAAGGTAGCACAATTTGCCTTGGGTTTTCTCGGGTAATTTGTTGAAAAATGTTAAAGAATTGACATGGAATCTTTTAAACAATGTTTTAAGATTCCAAAAATTTCACCCCCATATCCGTAAACATAATAGCAAACAAGTTATAGGGTATTTTTGATTGACGCGCATTTGTCAAAAAAATTAATAATTTGAAAACTATTTACTTTAGGTATAGGACATGGTTAAAAATGTAAAAATATATGGGGTGTTATATAACAAAGTTGATGTCCCTTCCGGTCAAAGCGGAAGTGGCATTTTGTTCAAAATCGATATCTTTTTCCGTTCCCCAGAAACTTCCAATGGACCACGAATGTAAAACACCCTGTATATCAAGTGTTGTTTTTTAGGTTGTGATACCACTATAGATTCTTAAGCAATGTATAATCGTCAAAATAAACGATCAAGATTTGTTTCCAACATCACACAATATTTGAAGAAAAAAAATATTTATAACAAAATAGAAACTGCCTTTTAAGGAATTTGACTGTATATCCTCGGTTTAATTTTTGCAATATTCTGCTAACGAAGTGCTGGGACGATGTTTGGACGATAGAGGAAGACTCTAGACAGTGTGTCCAAACTCTCCCTGCATGATGTGGAACAAAAAAAATGTTTATAATTTCAAAATATAGCAAAGGAATAAAGTAAGGATATAACAAAAGTTCCATGCTTTAATATGTAGTAATTTTAAATTATTTATCTACAACGGTCTGGGTAGAAAAGCTTACAAGGGGAAAGTAAAATATTACATGAAAAAACTCGAAAATAAACTTTTCCACTTACCTCTTCTACAGCTAAACTCAAACTTATTTCACTTCCATTATTTGATACCTTACCAACGTGACGATCTGTAATAATAGAACCAACCTGAAATTTTTACTGGAACCGCGAAATTTGTCCATTGTCCATTGTCTCCCAGTGTCCAAACCCTCCCCACTCTCCCCTATAGGTTAAAATAATAAGAATTCTTATTCATTAATGTATACAAAATTTAAATGACGTGATTTCGAGAAACGGTGAGTCCCGGGTACATTTTTTTACCTTTATTTTTAAAATCCGTTGAAATTTTTCAAGGGAGGAAAATCGTGTTGAACTGTGTTATAATTTATAACTTATAAATAAAGCCAATTTAATTATTTTTCCGTTCTAATCAACCATCTATAGTTGAATTTTAATTATACCACTTTTGGTTTTAAGACTTATTTCTTATGTCATATCGGCATAATTTAATAGTACCTATGTATACGTGTATTTAATGGGATTCTTTAGTTTGTTTGGCTTCTTTTAAACAAAAAAAGTCCGTTTAATTACAGTAATGGTAACATAATGCTTTTTTAAGGGGAAAAGAAGTATACTACCCTCTTCTTTAATTAAACGGACTTTTTTTTGTTTAAAAGAAGCCAAACAAACTAAAGAATCCCATTAAATACACGTATACATACATAGGTACTATTAAATTATGACGATATTACATTTCTAACTTTTTATAACATCCCATAATTTTATCTTAGTTAATGTTTATTTAACTATAAACATAAGCTTTCTATGAATTAATTTTTTTAATATGTAGTATTTAATGCACTATTTACCAAACATGCGTTCATTGATATTTATTTAATAACGTTTCTTTTGATAAAAATCGAATTCTTAGACATTTATTGTATGTTTCAGCTTTATTTTAATTTTATTTAAAATAAAACACTTGCCTGAGAGCGTGGAACATCATCAGTCGTATAACGCCTCACAATAGAATTCTAGTGGTTTTTCAAGATATTAATATCTTGAAAAACCACTCAGATCACTTAAAATTAATTTGATTTGGGCTATGTTTGTTGGGCACTAATTTTTACTAATTGTTAGAAATACATCTTTTAAAA